TTAATTGTTATTGCATTTTCTTCTCCAGCCCGTACCTTTTTTTATTCGCCTTTATTTTTATTTCTTTTTTTCAAATTAAATTATGCTTTATTAAAATATATTTGTATAATATCTATAAAAAAAATAATATACTCTTTAAAAAAAAATTATTTTAAGAAAAACATATCCTAAAAAGGAACAATAGTTAAATTTAAAAATATTGATTTGTATGTTCTGTCTAAAAAATATCTCTAGGTTCGAGGATTCACGATTTAATTTTGTGAGATAAATTTTTTGAAAAAACTAAAAGTTATAGGAGCGAACTGTCCTATAAAGGTATCGCTTGGCTATAAAAAAATATGAAAAAGAAAAATTCTACTTTTGAATTTATAAAAATTATTTTTATAACAATAATAAAGATAAAAAGGGATTCAAATTTAACACTTCTGAATATATTTAAAAAAATTTGGCTAGAGTGGAGGGGGGAGGGTTCGTCTCATATTAAAAATTTGAAAAGGGGCTAAAAATAAAAATAATTAGCAGGCAAGATTACCCCCCCCCCTTTCGGTAATACATCTTTGATAACAAAACTTAATTATATTTCTATTGCGTTTGATAATATATAAAGTAAGTATATAGGTTATGTCTCCTAATATTTTTGTATTAAATAGAAAAAAAGAAGAAGGAAGGATCCTATGCAGGCGCGTAACCAATAGGGGGGAAAGGAGGAAATTCCCCCCCCTATCGCAAATTTGACTATTTTCATAAATATCATTTTAAGCTAATAAAAATTTTACCCCCCCCCCACCCCCCCCACTCACCAATCAAAATTTTACAAATATTTGAATATCAATTTTCCAAAATATTATTCAAAAATATTAATAAAATGGAAAAATATTTAGTCAAAGAGATTGAAATCAAACGATAATTTATAAATAAGGCTGAGCATGAAAAAAAGTAATGTGTCGTTAGCAGCGATATCATTATTGAATTCAATTGATCAATCAGAGTTTATCATTGCTGCTAGTTGCATCAATAAATTATGTTTAGCTCACTACTTTGTAGAAATTTACAAAAACCAAATTTAGATTTGGTTCAAGTTATTGATTTGGCGGAAAATATACATGAACAGGTAGATACAATAAGAATGAATGTAGATAAATATTTTCATAATATTTATCTAGACGTTGAATCGAAGGCTAAATTTTATGATATAATACTAATTAAACCTCGTCTAGCACCTAGGCCATTATTGAGATGAAAATAAATATTGGCTCAACTGAAGAATATTATAAAATATCCATTTTCATCCCATTCTTAGATACTTTTTTATAGCAAATAAAAGTACGGGTTTTAGATAAAAAACAAGTCTTTAGCAATCTTCAAGTTTTATTACCCAAAGATCCTTCTTCATTTTCTAATGTCCACTATTGGTAAAATTAAATATTTAGAAAAATTTTATTCCTATGAGATTGATACTGAAATAAATTTAATCAGTGAATTCGAATTGTGGTATAAATATTTATACGTTTAGCTATTTTACCTGAGCATGCTATTGATGCGCTCAATCGGTGAAGAAACCTTGGCTCAATTTCCTAATAGTTCGAAGTTGTTTTATATTCTTGCATGTTTGCCTATTACAACATGTACGAATGAAAGGACTTTTTTCAACTTGAGAAGGTTGAAAACATATTTACGAAGTACTGAATCTCGGCTAAATGGGTTAGCTCTGTTAAATATACACAGAGATTTGGTTCCAAAGACAAACGAAATAATTAAAAATCTTGTATTTGATAAGAAGTTAAAAAAAACTTGTTAATTTAATTATTTTCTAGTCAATATTTTAAACTACTATTAGTATTTTCAATAAAAAAAATTATATTCTACTTATATTGTATGAGAATTTAAGCTGAGGCTAGTTTTTAAAGCAAATTTTATAAAAAAAATGACATTACACTTTATTTCAACTTTACATATAAATAAACCTTTACATTTAAAAAAACTTTATTAAATATAATATACCTAACTTGAAATAATAAAAAAGAGGCTTGTAATATCCTATCCATAAGCACGAATTAGTAAATAATAGTTAAAAATAGAAATATAATTATTATTAAATTATTCATAATTTAATAGAATAGCTAAATAAGACCCGGCCGAAGGCCGGGGAAAGCTGGCCGAAGGCCAGGTAAAAGGGGTTTGGGGGTGAAGCCCCCAAAAAATTTCCCCCCCCCCCCCCTATAAGAAAATCCTGGATACGCCACTGATCCTATGCATACTCTATATAATCAAATTTAATTAATATAGCGAACAGGTGACTTTAAATAGTCACACATCAAGTTCCTTACGAGTTCAGCCTTGTGTTGTAATATTTCATTTCATTCGTCTAAGGTAATTTCTTTCATAATGACTAAATCGTAAACGTTTTTTTTATTGTCCAAGTAGCTGTTTTTTATTTTTAGTTTTTTTTAACCATAAATTTTTTTTATAAAATGTTAAGTTTATAGCTAAAAATATTATACTTCAATTCAACAGCTGATATTAAGAAATTTGTTCGATTTTATAGCAACTTAAAAAATAGGGCCAGAAATATGGTGCCTATCTTTTAACATTGCTAACATTACAGCTTCTTCGAGCATTTTAAACTAAACGCGAAAGAGGCGATAATTTTTTCAATTCATTTTGCAAATAAATTTCTTGCATAAAGGATATTATATGCTTAACAATTTTTTTTTAGCCTTTCCCTATAATTTTTAGTTTAAATATGCATCATTGGATAATGATGATTAACATTGTGCTATATGTAATTTCTATATTGACTAGCAAATTTTTTTTATGTGAATAGAATTTGTATAAAAAAAAGTAAACACTTCCTTGGAATGAGAGTGATATATAATTTCTTTTATTCAAATAGTGTCCTATTTAAAATTTAGGCGTCCTGTCCTGTTAATTCATATTATATAATATATGGCTAAAGGATCTTATTCAAATCTAATCTATTCAACGTCGATTTTAAGCTTATTGGTAAAATTTCTCGTACACGATCGTGTATTTATAATGTAGATATTATTTCGCTTTCGTTTATGACAATGTTGTATATATATGACGATTAATTCTAAATGTATTTAAAAGTGTCATATATAGGAATCAGCTGTAGCACCTTTTAGTGGCTTGCACATCGTTTAAATAACATTATTTTGCATTCATATAATGATAAATAAGACAATTAGGCAAAGTGCAAACAAAAATGGCGCTACAGCTGACTCTTATACATGGACACTATTAATTATTGAATCGCCAATCTAGTAGTATACCTACATCATTGGTCTATGATGATCATAAACGAACTAATTTGGTTCATCAGATATCCTTATGAATAAATTCTTAATTTAACTCAGGCACTGAATATTATTTATTTCGAACTTAACAGATATAGGATTCCTAATTTTATTATTAAAATTATACCTTATTTTTATGTATTCCATAAGTACAAATTTATTTTGTATACATTATATTTATATTAAGGTGCCCATTATATGCTTCGTACTCAGAAAAATTGCTATATTGGGGCTCCAAGGATTCGTTTAAAATTAAAGTGGGAGCGGAATTATGTCAAGAAATAGTTGCCTCTAAAATAAACGATGTTTTTAATATCCTAAGCCAAATAAAGTCTGTCTTCGATTAATTTTAAAATACTATATATTTGTTTTTATTCTCCATAATGTGTTTTATATAGTTTAATTTGTTTCCTGTTAATGGTATTATAACTATATTCAAAGAAAATAAAAATTTATCTAATTTCATAAAAAAAAATATAGGCATCAGATATTTATTTAAATTTTAGTCAAAGAGGAAACAAATATTTTTGACAAAATTTAATTAAATCCCTTATTATATTTTTATTCATTAAAAACATAAAATATGTCAAGCAATATACTCTAATGGTTGGTTACCTTTAATATACGCTTATTTAACAATAACCCTTTTTTTGTTCGACACTTAAAAAATTTAAAATTTACATTAAAAAATTAAAACATGTTGCTATGACAAAGTATGTAAATTCAATTTTCTACGATAACCATTATTTTATTATATAAAAAAATTCACTAAGATTATACTCATACCCATTATATTTTAAGATGATAGGAATAAGGCCCGCATTTTAAAGTTAAGTTTACTGTGATAAATTATTATTATATATATTGATAATATAACTTTTTTATTTTATTTATCTACATTATAATGGTATAAGTTATTTATAGGCATAGTTTAAGGGATAAGGTGGAATTTCCCCTCATTACAAATTTATAGGTTTATAAATAATAATAATCCCCCTTCCACTTTGCACTTCCATTTTACTAAAAAATGAAAACAATGTCATTATAAAGAATCCTTTCCTTTAAAAAATTTCTCCCATACATAAGTTATGTCTAAGACTTTGAAATTCAATAAATACAAGAAGGCATCTTTTGATTTAATACATGAATGGTGATGTCATACATAAAAATATTAATAACCCGAAAAACCGGTATTTGTAGAGTCCTAGCCCATGATGAAAATTAAATGAAGTTGAAGCCCTTTAATTTTTCAAAATATTATTTTCTATTAGTTAAGATGTGTTCTAACTTCTAATAATGAATGAATATTCTAATTTAGCAATTTTTTATTATAAACAATTGTCGATCTAACAATCTATGAATCCATAAAACTATACTAATATAGCTGGAGCAATGAAATTTCGCTAGAAGAGCGCCAATTCTTTTTACTGTATTATGGAAATATCAAAAGATAGATAAAATTTGTTTGGATAAAATCTTTATTTAACTATTTGTTCTTAAACTCGGTTATATTGAAGTCTTAAACACCATTTATAAAATATAAAAAATTATGGACATCTTTAGGTAATTTTTACTAGTAACTGGAAATTCATTAAAACGAAATTCGAATGATATAGATAGATCATAAAGTAATGAAATATAAAATTTAAAGTATTCACCGAAATATTTAAATTGAAAAAATTATTATTTTCTGGGTGTTTTTTTAAGTCCTTTTGCCTTAAACTCTTTATGCATAAAAAAGTAGAGTATTGGGTTGATAGCAGAATTCATGTATCCTAGCCAAGTTAATAGGTCAAACAACCAATATGGACTCTCGAATCGAAAAAATGAAAGTAAAAAGAAATATATAAAATATGGTATCCAACATATCATAAATAGGATCAATATGGTTAGTATATAGTAAATAGCTTTACGTTCTACCAGTAAATTTTGGGATTTCAAAATGTTTGGCTTAAACTGAGTTACAGCAAAAATGACATTGTCAGTTGAAGATATAACCATTTTTTCTATAAAATTATTATTTAATGTGTATGATGGTTTTGGAAAACTATGATCTCCATTTACTATTATATCCTTTTTGGATAGTCCAATTACAAGAATGTTTGCAAATGCAAGACACAATTTGTGTATTAGAGTTGTTATTTTATTTAAAAAATTTTTTTTGTTAACCAGTTTTGAATATCCCTTTCCTCCATTTGGTAAGGTCTGGCTATATTTTAATGTGCTTTGAATTTTGTGCCTCAGCATGACTATGATATTTACGAAGAAATATAGCATCATCATTAAAGGAACGAAGAATGAAACAACCGGGCCAACTATGCCCATGATTAAATTTGGATTAAATAAACACTGATTCATGTCTTGTATAGCCAAAATTTCTATCATATCGTACTCAGTTATATTTTGATAATAGTTGTATCCACCTTTTCCATGTAAATAAAAAGGAGATGCGTTGAAAGTGGTTGAATAAGAATATCGATTAAATATATGCGTGTAATTCCTATTGAACCCTGATTTCCTACTTATGTTGTCATTATAATGAAGACTAAATATACCTTCGTAACTTTCATGACATAGATCAGTGTAGTTGGAGAATGTGTTTGACACCACGGAATTTGGAAATCTTAGTATATAAAAAATGGAGAATGTCATACTGATTAACCATGTTGTGGCTATTACACCTATATATGTTAAGGATCCTTTGGAGGAAGGTCCTTTGTTAGATGCGAAAAATTTGTAGAATAAGGGAAATCTTAAGGCCAAATATTGATCGAAGGCTAAAAAGGCCAAGTGCCATATACCCGTGCTAACTAACTGAACATCCATGATCGCTCGAGCCCTGCACATAGCCAAGGGAACCAATATAAAATGGCATGATACCGCATTAATACCAATCTTATCATATTTTAATGCATTCAGTAGTTTTTGGTTAACATGTTTATTAAAGAAGGTAAATATTTTGAGTAGTATATCAAATAATATGACTAGTAATCCATACAAAAAGTCCACAATCGATAGGGAAAATATTATGATAAATCTTACATTCTTTTTAAAAATGTTGACTTTTGATTTTAAATAAAATGCGATTATAAAACCGTTTCCAGTCAATATCATCATCAGAATTAGTGATAAAATACTCGTTTTTACAACGAAATTTATAATATCTTGTTCCATTAGCAAAAAAAGACCTTTATAAAAATACGGATTATTTGCAGATTTTTTATATCAGTTTTAATAATTTAAAATAAATATAAATTTACCTAACTAGTCAAAATTATGTCTATCAAATAATTATTCTATTACTAAGATACTTTATTTATTCATTAATATTGAATAATTAATTATTTCTTTTATGTTTATTATTTATTTTATAGTTTCGTTTTAATATTTAACTTTTTATATTAATTTTTTCTTGAATAATTTTAGATTCATGAAAGAGGGTTTATAATTAGAATAAGAAAAATTTAATAAATCATGATATAATTTTAATTTATTTCATAACATCTAATTTTTTCACATATTCATTAATTATAATTTTGTGGCATAAGTAGCTTCTTCTGGGCAATTGAGAAGATATACTAAATTTGAAATGGAAAAATGATAAATTATAATAAGTTATATTCTCATTATTTAAGAATGACTGGAAATCCCTAATTTCAAGATAATACCACTTTTCAGCTACTTTCTGTTTAGAGTAACTCTAGATACTTATCAATAAAATCGTGCAATTTTTTTTCCCTTTTATCCTCGTTTTTAGCATGGGCCTTTTTCAACGTTACCATATTCTAACTAGTTTCCCTATCTCTTTTTTTTTTATAGCGGAGACAAAAAATTTCAAGAACTCATTGTTAATATGATTTCCAGCATCTCTCTCAGCACACTCATTTCGGTTGCACTCATCATTTCACCACTTCCCCTGATATTCAAATCTAAGGCATTCGTAAATTCTTATATTGTTATTATTTCATATACCCTGGACATTTATTTCTAAATAGAGTATTTTCCGATTTCCCCTTCCCCAAATATAATACTCGTCTATTTTCCCTATTTCGTCGAATAATAGATATTCAGTTATCTCCCATCCAGTCATACGCTTTAGAACCAAATGTAAAATATTTTATATTTCTCCAAATTTCTTCATGAACATTTGCTTGAATGAAAATCGATTTCAATCATTTTCCCTCTCTAAATTCAAATTGATTATATTTATTAGTAGTGAACTCTCATGACAATAACACTTTTTGCTTTAAGATCTAACCTATAATTATTGCTTCTCTGTCTTATTCATCCATTTCCGGGCATATAGAAAGACAAAGAAAAAAGAGAATTGTAAGGTTAATATATCAACAGCTAAGATACAAAAAAATATCATAGAGCACACATTTTATTTATGAAATAAAACATTTAATATTATGGGATCATCCCCAAGTTTACTTTTCCTATAAAATAAGAATGTGAGCAATTTTTAACAAACTTTCTGCAGCTTGCATTTATAATCTTTTATTAAAATTATTTAATTTATATATCGTCTGTATGAAGAATTACTTTGGCTTACAACCTTATGGTATCTATTTTATTTCTCCGACTTTTTTGTCGTGCCCTTTCACTCACTTTGTATTTAAATCTATTTTTAAAAAAATATTTCATTGTTAAGTTATTTAAATGATTACTTATTCAGAATTTTCCCATTATCTTAGCCTGTAAATATCGTATTTTATCACGAAACTCTTGCCCTTCTTAAAATTTTTTTACATATCTTTACATCCAGTATAGTGGAAAACCCATATTTTTATAAACCTGTAAATCTCTCTATTTCAATCATAAATATTTATTATCATTTTTCTCCCTTTTAATTACAGCATTTTGTAAACCATGGCTTATTTGTTGAAATCCCCATAATTATCTTTTTTTTCCAGTTCCACCAACTATCCCTAAGACTATTGCTATAATTAAAAGTCTAAGCAGCGTCATCATTCAATTACCTGTTATCACTATTTCACACTATTGAGTTCCTTTTAACCATAAAAAGCCCACACTGCAGTTCGTTCGTCTCATTTAAGAAAAAATTGGACGAACTAATCTGTAAAAAAACTTAAAATTTTTTTTGGTTAGGGGCTATAAAATGTAATTCAATTATGAAGTCCCCTACCCATCTCACATTTAGGTATCTAAAGCCTCTAAATACTAATTAATTAAAAAATTCATATTTCTTTCCAAAGATAGACTAGTAGTTTGGAACAAAAGTCAACACTTGATTACTAATTCAGCACTTTATGCTATATCTTTTATAAACTTCATAGAGACTGACTCAACTCCTATATACCCTCCCTTTTCTAATTACTAAAATGGCACAGAAAAGAATTAAGTTACATCATCTAATGTTGATTAGTAGAAACATTCTGTTTTACGTGATTTATTAAATCGGAATTAGTAGTAAAATAAAAGATCTAGCCAAAAACAGATATCAAAAATTCGGATCGATTTTATTAAAGTTTTACAAAACCTCCATTTAGACCAGACAAAACAAATATCTCGACTTTAATTTTTTATTTTGTTTTTATTTATAATATTTACTATTTTTTGTTTTTATTTAAAAATTCACTTTAATATTAAAAATTTAATAAAAATGGGTAAGAAATTAACTTTTTATTGTTAATATTGACTTTCTTATTTTTTTTTTTAAAAATTGCATTTTTTTCCTCCAGCTCTACCAGTACCATTATATACTATTTAAATTTAATTTATTTTAAATAAAAATATTCGTATTTTTAACGGTCTGGACCTAAGACCTACTGCAAACCCAGACTGTTCTTAAGATTGGTTCGAACTTGTGACGTTCAATAGAAATTAGTAACAATAAGGTTTTTTGTATATATAAATTATTATTCCATAAAAGTTTGAAAAAAAATTAGCTATAATTTCTGTGATAAACACGTTTCCATAATTAAGTTTACAATTTCTTTGCTCCTTGTTTGAATTTATAATATTTAGCATTTGTAAATTTTAACGGTCTAGACCTAAGACCTACTGCAAACCCAGACTGTTCTTAAGATTGGTTCGAACTTGTGACGTTCAATAGAAATTAGTAACAATAAGGTTTTTTATATATATAAATTATTATTCCATAAAAGTTTGAAAAAAAATTGTTCTCAGCTATAATTTCTGTGATAAACACGTTTCCATAATTGAGTTTACAATTTCTTTGCTCCTTGTTTGAATTTTTTTTATAAATCTACTATGGATATATTATTACTTTTTAACAAATGTATTATTAATAAATAATATATATAAAAAAATATAAAGAATGTACCGTTTGGTTAATTAGCACTAAAACGGTATAAAATATTTTTTAGTATTTCCTGACATTCATTTTTTTGTTAGTACAAGAGAAGTTTGTTATTCAATATAATTAGCATCTAAATTTAATATCATGCTATATTGCTCAATTATTTCTCAAATTTATTACCAAGTATGGATACATTTTTTTTAAATAATAGACTATAATAAGCAATTTAATTTAATTGGTTAAACTTATATATAAGGTGAAATTATTTATTCAAATTATCATTAATATTAAAATATGCTTTTATAAAAAAATTGCCTCATTATAATTTTTTGACGAACTTTGATATAATGTATTTACCAAAGCTGCTAAAGAGTGGCTAGCTTTTGAGTAAAATTAATAATGTTATTTTTTCTGAGCAGATGTATCAATTAAAATGTTTAGTGAAGGCCAGCTTGCATAATCCGAAAAAAAAAATCTAGAAACCAAATCAAGTTAAAACGCTTTGTCGGCCAAATAAGTGAACGATTTTGGCAGATATAATAACTGGACAAACTAGATTTGAATAACGGTCTGAATCAGTCCTAATTAGCCTTTAGTTAAGATCAACGGTCCGGTCCTATCGGCATTAGACCGAGCCATATGATGGACCGGTCTTATTCAGAGGACCGTGGTCTGGTTGGGACCTACCCTTCACTACTTAGTTCATAACAATCATTTAAAACAACCCTTAATTTATATTATGTTAAATAATTTCATTATGGGAAAAATCGTATAAGATAAATCACGTGATTAAAAAATAGGCTTGATTAATTTATATTGGATATGGTATATTATAATTTTAGAAAATAAGGAATATGGAGAAGAAACAAGGCCATGATTTTTTCTAATTTGATTTAAAAAATAAAAATTAAATAAGAATAAATATAATCTTAAAACATAGTTTTATGAAGATAATCATGTGAAGATGGCATAACCAACCTAATTCTAATGCGAAGATTCATTAAAAAAATAAGAAAATTGGCAATTTGAAATCATTATTCTTGCAAAGAATATTTGACCAAATTGAAAGAATATTTGGAAGCAATCCTCCCGATGACGGTGGACAAACTACTACAAAAAGATTTCGGTCTGTTATGATAATAGTAATGGATTTGAAAAGAACAATCTTTTATTATTCAGCAAAAATTTTATTATCAAAATAAGTAAATTTATAAAACTTACCCCAAATTTCATAAAATAAAAATAGTTTATTTATCGCTGCATCCTAACTCTTTAAATAATAGATTACGACATAATGTGAGATGCACTTATCCCAATTTCTTAAATCCCCCCAAAAAATATTCAGATTAATAATTTTAAAAAGAAAAAATGACGAACTGAGACACAGCTTTTCCGTTTATAATATCTAGAGATTCACTTTTTTATTAGTTTTTTCGCCGCTCTTTATTTTTGCTTTAATTCTTTAAATGGCGAAGATTTTCCGGTTCATTTTTTGGAAGAATATGACTTAACAAATGAAATGGAATTTTGATGTCTATGGATTCAAATATTCTTAACTCACTCTTTATCATGAATATAGTTATTCAAGACTCAAAAACAGATAAGATTTATATTTCTTTATAATAATAATTACTAAATCTCACTATTACAATATCGGAAAGGGTAAGTTCCACTCATTTAGTTAAACTACAACTGGGTACAAGGTTTGTTGGTATCCTTGAAAAAATAATCGGCATAATTTTATGAAGGGTGGGCCTTATTAAAATTCACATTCGCTCTTTAGGCAGGCCTATGACCAACGTGCTAGATAAGATAAGATAAGATTAGCCAAAAATTTAATCGCAATTTGAATTAAAAAGTAAAAAAATAAACAAAAATTTAATTAGGTAAAATAAATGTAAAACTTTTTCTAATAAGTAAAGTAATTAATATGTTAATGTTTTTTAATTTTGATTGCTAATAAAATACTGTTTTTTTTAGACTAGTGCCTCTTTTTGGTGCCAAAGTAACATAAAGTTAATATCCCATATACCGCCAGTTACATTGCATTTTTAGTAAGCGATATTAATCGCTAGCAAATCCCAACTAATTCATCAATCATCACATCGCAACATATGTCTTTCACACCATTTCATTATTTCGCTCAGTATTTATAAATTATATCCATTATTGGCTTGATTATGTGAATTAGGTAGCGAAAAATTTCGCATCGTTGCGTCAATCACGCTTATTATCAGTTGTTCGAGAAAGTTGGTTTTAGTAAAAAAAATCCAAAGTTTTGACTCGCTACTCCTCAGTCCATGCTTGTAACAGCCTTTTATGTTTAAAATGTTAATTCATAGACGTGTTTAGATATTTTATGAAAATCATGAAATAATAAAAAACCAAATATTTTAAATTTAAAGCATTAAAATATATAGATTTCATCCAAAGGTTTGGTTTGATGTTTTGGTATACAATATATTATATAAGTATAATTTAGATTAAATCAGGTCTCAGGTGCTTAAAACTATTTTTATATATGGTTATTCAAGGTGCAGTTAATTGAATTGTTTATAATACTACTACTAATACCTAATCCTTCAATACTCAAGCGAGCTCTATATAGAACTCCAAGCGTGTTATTATTAATTAATAATAGTTTAAATGGTAATTCATAAAGATATAAAATCTTCAGTAGTTAATTATAGATCCAAAAGTCTATCAATTAAAATATAAACCTTTTGTGACGGCCTTAGATCTGTCAAACCCTAAAAGAGTATTTATTTATTTATGTTTTTTAAAACCTTAGTTAAGATAAGAATTTTATTTAAAAAATTTTTATTTTGATGAAAAAAAAATTTATTTTATAAAATTTATTAAGTGGATAACTTCATGAAGGTAAGCAATACACAATATCGAGATGTACATAATCGAAAACATTCGACTTGGTTTTAATATCCATTTTTTTATTCTAAGCATAATATTTTTTAAAAAAATAAATATTTTAAAAAGTTTAAGGTTACTTGTATCTTATATCAAAATATATAATAAAAATAGTGAATTGGAAATAGGGATATAAACATTTTAAATTGAGTTTATTAAACCCCACTAGAACATCTAAGTAATTTTTTTCACCGGAGTAGAAAGGTTATAAAGCTAAGAGTATTGGAGCTAATTTCATTTATAAAAATTATAATTTTCCAAGAGAAGTGTGAATTATTCAACATTATTTCTGTGCTAGCCAATGAAGTTATTGCATAAAAAATATATATTATAGATCTATATTATACTATATTACATTACAAATACAATAATGATATAAAATTAACATAATTATTTGAAAGTTATTTAATTTAACATTATAAAATAAAAATAATTTATTCATATAAATAACCCGTTTTAAATAATTCATTAAAAAAATCATATTTATAAAAAGAATATTCTACAATGAGGCCAATCAAGTTGGCCTTTTCGAAGCTAAGTAACTTATCAAAAAAAATATTTAAAAATATATCTATAAAACAGGGAATTCAATATAATCTTCTAAAAATGTAGGTGTTCGATTTATAAATTATATATAGAATCTGAATAATAAATCTAATTAATTCATATTATTTTTTAAACCATTTTAAAATTGGATTCCTAATATTAAAAAAATGGGGGGATTGGAATTTCGTTTTCTATTTTCCTCTTCAAATCAAGCGTAGTTCTGTGTGATAAAAACTTAATCTATCATCTATTATAAGAAGATTGAGCGATCTTGAATGATCATTCAAAATAACATCTAAGGACATTATGGAATCTATTTATTTTTATAAAAACATATTTAAAATACATTTATTCGTCCTCATATTTGATTAATTCATTAGTTAAACAGCAGAGCGAATTTTAAATGAAGGAAGGCCATTGGTAAAAAATAGAGATCTAATTCAGCTTTTCCTCAAGGTGCGAGCTTTAAAACAAATAAACAAATCAGATAAATCTTCCTCAGAGAATTAATCGTTTTCCGGGTTAAATCTGGAGGAGGAGCCTATAGTTTTCGGTCAAAAATTGGCTAAGCCAATTAGAGTCAGCTCCAATAGAGGGATTTATATAACTCTCTGAGGATTTTTGACCCGAGTCTTTATGCAGAAAAAATGTAAAGGTCCTGGTTCGGTTAAGGTTTAAAAAAATAATATAGGTTTTCAGGTTTTATAATATTTATTTATATTAAAAAATTTAAATTAAAAACACAAATGATTATATTAAGATAATGCTCAATATACTAGTTGAGCAAAGTGTAATTTATCATATATTATGGTCAAAGTTATCATTTATATAAAACAAAACAGTTTTTTTTATTCCTTTACGCGATTTGGCATAAATTTTCGGTTACGGTCCATGAAATAAAGGTTTGTTCTGGTATAATGGTTCGGCTCGCTTCGGGTTCCCTGCCCTAACTCAATTTTGTTTAATGGAAAAAAAATCATAAAAATGAAGGGATGATTTAGATCATTTGAATAAGGTAATTATTCTTTTTAAAAACTAATTATGATTACTTTTAGATACGGGAAAAATATGGCATTGAATGGGATTAAACGCGTTGATGCATAAAATTTTACCACAATGTGTACCTAAGAAAACCAAATTTTTGTATGCTTTCAACCTAAAATAAAATTATTATGCGTATATTATTTATAGGTACTTACACTAACGATTCATTCATTAAAAAATACAATTTAAAGCGTCGTTAAATTCAAATCAGCTAGTAATAGGCCATTTTGGCTTTCCATATAAGATTTTTATAAATAAATAAAAGACGGATTTTTTTTGTATAAAAAGTTTTCACAAAATTTAAAATTATTTATATAGTGAAACCAAAATTGCGTGCCATCAGCTGATTTTTTATTGAAACGCATTTAAATAGGTTAGTATCATATACCATTATGCCTAAATAATTTGAAATAAATTTAAACACTTTTTAGACCGAACATCGATAAAAATATTCTTAATTACACAATAAAAGAAAATAGAAAACATTTAATCGTTTTCTATCTTTTTTCAGTATGATATTGTTTTTCAAAGTCTTATTTTTTAAAAAAATACAGAATATTTTTATTTTAAAATATAAAAACTCACACATTGAAATTGTATTCGTAAGAAGCGGGGTTAGTTAAATGGTCAGACGAAGATATGGTGAAAACATTGTGAGACACAATTCGATACTTTTGTATCGAAATGTCCTCTACGTCGAGATACAAGGTAGAATTATCGGAATCTTTTTTAGATAATATTATATAAACATAAATATTAATTTTTGAATGAGGAGTGAACTTTAAATCAAACCCAAAATTATCTAGTTAAAATACCCGGTACTTTTTACGAAACATTTTCATTTAAACTCATATATAGTCTAAGAATATTATTCTGCTTAAAAAAGTGGGAGAGGGAGATTAGAAACTTTAATAAAATACGGTGGGCATAAAAAATGACATTTAGATTGGGTTTGAAAAATCTGGAACCGGAAATAAAATCCGCGTAAAATTTCAGAGCCGGAACCAAACCCCGTTTTTTAAAATTTGTTAGAACCAAAACCACATTTAAAAAAAGAACCGAACCTATTAGTTCAGGTTGCAGACTCTGAGTTTTAGTAATGTTTTTAAAATAAATATTAAACAATTTTTCATAGATGAGTAAAATTAAAATAGAATTCTGAATATTTACCCTTTGTATGGTACAGCTCGACTACGACAGTTCGGACAATAGAAATTTCGTCTTCAGGATCCTTTATACTAGTGGAATTATCGACTAGTCGACGGACATCAATTTTATTAACACCACCAACGGATAAAATATTTATCGATTGCCCAATTAAACAGGATAACAAAAGGATACGGGTAATACGGCGGTGCTTAGAAAGGTTAAAAACTGGTAGCGTATTATTATCACCTAAAATCGGCGAGAAAAGAATTTTTGTGCTTTTATCATGGGATTTGACATCTGTGATTAATTTAGCGAAATTGCACACGAGAATATCCCAACAACCAAATATCCCTGTTTCGTATTCATAATCTTCAGAATAAGGTGTATCAGCTCCTGTTCGATACAATAGGCAATATTTATCGATACATCCTATATCCCACAATTTTCCGTTGTCGGATTTAATTGAAAAATTATTAAAGATTCCCCAATCCTCATTTCCATTTTGTGAAGAACCCTTGATATTTTCTATTTTTTGCTTCCTTTCTAGGTTCGGGGCAGAAGGAGGAGGAACGAAAGTGATATCGAAGGCGAGGGGTAGTCTTTCCGTGTCAATCTCGTTGACGATTTTGTAGGTTAAATGTTGCGCGTGGTCCTTTCTAAAAGTTCTGAGCCAAAATTTGATCCTGTAGTCGGATGAAGCTGTTATCAAATAAACAGCTTTATCGCCAAGATCATTGATGGCAAGAAGAGAGCCTTTGTCGCTAATTTAAAAAAAATATATATATAAAGCTAACTTAAGTTAACAAATAAAATTTGTTTTTGCAATTACTTTGCAAATATTTTATATAATATAATTATAGTTATAATTTTAAAATATAACATTTTCTCTCTCTCTCTACAATTATAGTTATAATTTATCTCTCTGTAATAATGAAACTCTTAGATAAGATATAAAGGTTAAAATACATTTTGCTAAGAATATCATTATGTGAAGGTATGTGACAGAGTCTCATGCAGGTTATATCGCTTCCAGGTTCATGGGCCATTTCCTGCGTAAAAATTCTGGAATGGTGGGAAGCTTATATATATATTTATAATTTAAAGTGATTACAAAGCGCCCTAAATTAATTATCAGGAAGAAATTTAAACTTATAAAATTTATTAGCATTTTTAGTACAACTGTATAATTGTGCAACTATATTTTAAAACGTTTAAACGTTTAAGATATTTGGTCACTAAAAAAATGCTAATTATTTATAAATCCTTAGTAAAAACCATTTAAAGTTGTTTCTTGAACTTCAAAGCTACCATCTGAATATCCTCTGCCTATGATCACCTCCGTATAGTCCAAGTAATTATCAGATAAGATTGGTCCCTTATAATTTTTCTGAGATGTCGTGATTGGTCGATATTGCTCTACCATTAAAAAATCGGCGACGGAACAAGTGATTGCCCTCTTTTTCTTGGCTTCTGATTGGACAATCATGGCATGAGAATTCAAATCGTCCAAAAGAATTATCTGATTTATCACTCGATCTACGTATATTTCGAGGAAATAAAATAGAGAAGGAGATAGGGATATAATCGTGTGCAGCGTTTCACCAAAAACGGACAAAGTACAATGAATTTGGCAGTTTTGATGGGCAGTATTAGCTTGAAAATAAATAAAATATACAAGTAATTTAATAGACATTAGATTAATTATATATATATCTATATATAATAAAAGATGGGGATGGAAGTAAGGAAGTAACGCTGTTTAAATATTTTAAAATAAGTAATTAGAACAACTATTTTTTGCGATTTGTGCATCTCAAACTAGTTTAACTTACATGAGTAGTATATTATAAAAACGTAAACCAATTTTATTATTTTATTGTACCAATAGTATGTTCTGGATCATAGTCATTATAACTGACAGATTTTTCCTTATGTTCATCAACAACATTTTCGGTCATAATAAATTTTACGGGTTTATTGAATTTATCGATCCTGAATAACGGACGCGATGAAGTTTGGTTATTGGGTAGAAGCAAAATGGTTCGATTGCCAGTATTATCATTGAGAACATACGACATTTGAAGAGCTTTTCGGGAGCAAAATATTTTCAATAAATTAATTTGTCTCTTTATAAAAAAAAATAAGCAAATTATTTTGACAACTGCTTGTTTTCTTTTTGTGATTTTGTAAAGTTTAATTGTTTTTTTCAGTATTAAAAATTCACAACTATTTATTATTTTAACTATTTATCAAAACTAATTATTGGTAAATAAATTTTTTTAAAATATACATATAGAAAAGCAACTAGAGGAATACATTTAAGATTTAACGCCGCTCCGTGCCTGTCAACATTCGCAACAACCTGTTTTTGGGGGTGGGGAGCGCAGAGAAATATTTGCTTAGGCGTTTGACCAAATTCTAATATTTGAGTCTCTGATTGACGTTTATGTATCTCGTTTTCACCGTATGCCTGCCAAAAATTGTCTGGTTCGCAGTGATTTAAGATGTTCAGTGAGATGTTCTATAGTCATAAAATAGAAAATTTATTTATATAAACTCAAGTTAAACATCGAAATAAAACAAAATATATTTGCTTAATTATCTATCATACATTATATAGGTGTTTAATTTCCATTTTCTTAGAATATGATTTATGATTGGATAAATTATATCAAGGCATCTCGTTTATCCATTTTCTTCGAATATAAAAAACCAATAAATATTTTTAAAAATGTTATTTCTCTTTTCTTAGAAAAAAAGTTAGTGTTAGCCACATGCAATTTTCAAGATAAAATTACAACATTTTGTACTTATTTAAAATTAATAACATTAAATTAAAATAATAATTTTAAAAAATACACACTACAGGGTCGTATAAGAAGGGGGAGGGAGTTAAAAATTTAAACCTCCCTTAGAACGAAAATGTTTACATCAAAATATTTTAAAAATTATATTAACACACACACATATATATATAATTCAAAGAAAATGCCAGTAACTTCTTAAATAGAGAAATGTTTAACTATTATAGTTTATATGAAACTTATATATATATATATATATCATTTTTTAGATTTTTTTCCTCGTGGGTCAGTTTTTCATTGCCTTCTCTTTAAAATTACGAAAAAAGTGGGGAGAGAAAAAACAGTAAAATAATCAATTTCAGCCAATCAGGGTATAAAAGGAAGGAAAGATTCTAATATTTGCGAGGGACATAAATTTTTTTATCAATTATTCACAAAAATTAAAAGAAAGGTACCCGATTTTATGTGTATTTTTTTTTCCTAGAAAGATTAGAAAAAGTTTTTTAACCGTATTGTTTGATTCGTAGGTCAGAGGGTGAAACAAATTATCGGCTAAAAATGCTTGGTAACCGTTTTGCTTGTAACCGAATACCAAATCTATCCAATCGTTTAAATGGCGGGATACGTGTTCTGACTCGAGGGCGGAACGCATGATGCGAACGAAATTGAGGTGAGGGGGGAGAAATCTGCGGTCGTCTAATTTGAAATGAGAGAGAAAAGTATGGGGGAGGGGAGTAGGGTTGATGAAATTTGTTTCATAAAATTTTAATTTTTCTTTTGATAATAAAATTATAAACAAATTACGAAATAGTTATTCTCTTCGATGTATGACATGAAGATATTTAAAAATGCAATAAGTTGCACTCTAAATGGCTAAATGAACAATACATTTCGTAAAATATTTTTATTTTCACGAAGATATTTAAAAATGCTATAAGTTGCATTCTGAATTGTTAGATGAACAATCTTTTTCGTAATTTGAGAATTAAGAAATTCAATGGGGTAATTGAGTAGGTCCTCAGGATTATCTGTTACTATAGAATCAGCGCTTTTTTATTATCACGAAGATATTAAAATAAGCAAGTAATGGGTACAAAAATGAGTGATCGTAAAAAAGGAAATAAATAGTCCTTTATAAAAAAATTAAATATTGAGAATATCTCTCAGCAATCCTCAGTTGCTATTAGGATTTAAATGAAATACTAATTTTTTATATTATTCTTTCTCTCCCAAACCCTCTTTAAATATTTGTTCTTTTTCCATATAATGTCATTGTAATTTTTCTGCCAAAAAATTTTTTTTTATTTTGATCGCGAGCTTTAAAAAATGTAACGGCCAGTTTCGTGAACTCGTAGCATTTTGAATTAATGTATTCAGTTTCAAACATTAAAAAAAATTTAGCATTTATTTGTATTGAATTTAATTAAATCATTAATGGCTATAAACATATAATTAGTAATATTCTATAAAAAAAATTATTATATTTTTTGAGACCTGCAAAATATAAAAAATTTCGGCTCAACCCCGTCTGCGACCCTGTGGCAATTTTTTTTAAAGCTGTTAATACATTCGAAATTTATTTTATATTATATTAACTTAATTATATTATTTCTTTCACGTGACATAATATTAATAAATTGAATTCGAAAAAGTACTTATAGATATTTTTTGCTAGAGTTGCATTCAAAATATTATTAAATAAAATAAAATTTTAAAATTTCTTATATGATTGTATTTGATAGTGATAATTGATATTTTTTAAATTATGTCTTGATGAATAAAATCACCAAGATTTGTTATACCTATTACTAGTAAACTTAGAAAACTTCATGGTGGCAGCGGTGGGATCCGACACTACTTATAGTTAGGTAACAAATATAAATTAGAAGAAAGAACAGAACTGGGAAGGTTAATACATTCGAAATTTATTTTATATTATATTAAGTGATACGTGAAAAAGCGCATTCGCCCTCTCAACGTTGTAGGAACAACAGAGCTACGCTAGGTTTTTCTCATTTCCATCTAATTGGATTATTAAAGTAATCGGGGAAGAAAAATATGAGAAGCCCTTTACATGTTAGTGAGCAAGCCGCACATACTTGTATGCACAGTCCGAGAGTTATCGTTTAAATGTCTGTGGGCTGATTAAGAGGGAAAGAGCCAAATAAGACAGCCCACACCCATGCCTACTGTCCTATTTGTATCTGTAGTTTAAGTTAATGTTTAATGGGAATTCAGGTAGTTGAGGGGGAGGAAGGGTAAAGTGACGGATAGGGGTTTCATCTTAGGTACCCAGATTTTACCTTAAGAAACTTTTTAATAGATTTTTTTATTGTTATTTAGTCTAGACCATAACGTCTTGTATCTACTGTATGACTTTCCTTTGCAGGTAAAGAGCCAAGTTAAAGCATCGTGGACCAAATTACCGTTGGAATGTCTCAGAATGTGAGCTAAGAAATGTATTCGTTTTTTCTTTAGTATAATGTGAAAAGGAGTATGTTTTGATTGTCTCCATAATCTTTCGTTTGATATTAGTCTAGGGTAGAAAACCCCGTTAATTATCCTTAAACACTTGTTGATAAACGTCTGACATTTCCTGTTATCAGCTTTGCTTATTTCCCATGTTTCGCAGCCATATAATAGAATAGGAATCACAGTAGAATTAAAGATAATCGCCAAATTTTAATGAAGATAATTTGCAGGAAGCGTGGTACAGCATTTGATGTTGCTTTAAGATGTTCACCAGTAATATTGTCTGGGCCAGGAGCTTTATGATTTCTAAGTTTTCTGAGTGCAGTAGAGATTTCAGTTAGTAAAAATTGGGAGGTAGATTGGGGAGTAGCTTGCGGTTCAGATAGTATACTTGTTGGTTTCCTAGATTCGAAGATCTTCATGTAATGATCTGTCCAAAACGCCAACTGATCGTCCTGGTCAATTATAACTCTATTATTTTCCAATCGAATGGAAGGAAGTTTTTTAAAATTTTTGATTTGCAAAAATATTTAAGTTTACTGTAAGCGTCAAAAAGCCTATTTCCTCTCATATCTGCATCAATCTCGTATGCTTTCCTGACCGTGAAGATTCTTCTGTCACTTCTTAGTAATCTCTGTATAGATTTCCAAAGTTCCCTGTCAAAGTGACCTCTTGAACGGAGCTCCTCAATTTTTATCATAGTTGTAGTGGATATCCATTCATTCCTCCCGAGAGGGTTGTTTCTTCCTAAAATCTTGCTTGCTTCGTGAATGTCATTTTTAAAGATCATCCAGCATTCTTCCACTGTTTTGGACGGGGATATGCTTTCAAAATTTATTGCCTTCACACATAGTCTACGGTCGAAGAGTTCTCTGATCTCTGGTATTTGTAAATTATTAATATTTTGCCTTCTGAGTGTATTAACAGGTTGGTTGGAGTTGTTATTCAGTCCAATTGAGGTTACCCATATATTCCTTACCAAGATTTTAGCTTTGATCATTTTATGATCAGATAAATTAACACTCGTCATGGCCATTATATCTTTGAACCAGCCGTGAACATTTAAGATGAAAAATCTGTCTGCGATTTGTGACTTCCTCTTCTAAAGGTGAGTGTATTTACCTCTCTATGAGAGAAGAAAGGTAAGGCTTTGGGTTTTTGATAAACAAGAAAATATACAGCCACATAAATAGGTTTACACCTGATGGGCTATTATACATCAACACAAATTTTAGGCCAACAATACTGATAAATATTTACGCACCCCCAAATGGGAGAGATAGATTACTCTTTCTTGATGATCTGGAGAGAAGATATAACATAATTTTGATGGGTGATCTAAATACCAGGATTGGTTTGGAGGAGATCTATAAAAGAAACAACATCATTGGAAATGCAGCCCTTGCACAGCCCAATGGAGATGACAGTAGAAAATTACTTGATCTATGTGATAGTAATAATCTCAAAATTGAAAATACTTTAGTTTTTAAGGATAATTAACGGCGTTTTATACCCGAGACTAATATCAAACGAAAGATTATGGAGACAATCAAAACATACTCCTTTTCACATCATACTAAAGAAAAAACGAATTCTTCTTAGCTAATATTCTGAGACATTCCGACGGTAATTTGGTCCACGATGCTTTAACTTGGCTCTTTACCTGCAAAGGAAAGTCATACAATAGATACAAGATGTTATGGTTTCACCGGGTACTGAAAGATGTTGCTGACCTAAACATAAACTGGAAACAGTTCACTAGACTGAATAACATTAAAAATCTATTAAAAAGTTTCTTAAGGTAAAATCTAGGTACCTAAGATGAAATCTTCTATCAGTCACTTTACCTTCCCCCCCCCCTTAACTACCTGAATACCCCTACAAGAGTACAGGGTTTTTTTTCTCTTATTTAATAATTATATTTTTTTAAATGTAACTCATTAAACATTAACTTAAACTAGCCTTCCCCTATCCAATTATAATCAGATACAAATAGGACAGTAGACATAGGTGTGGGCTGTCTTATTTGGCCCTTTCCCTCTTAATCAGGCCACAGACGTCTAAACGATAATCTTCGTGCGTACAAGTAACTTAATTATATTATTTCTTTCACGTGACATAAAATTCAATAATTGATATGTGATTCGCGTTTTAGTTTAGCGTTTATATTTTTTTACATTTTGCGATTTGGCGTTTAAATTTATTTTCATATTTTCCATTAAATTTATTTTTATATTTATCTTTATATTTTGGGTTTTGGGATTGATATTTCTTTGCTGAGGCTAGTGGGAGAGACTGAATACAATGAAGGAATCTATTGATAAATAAATTAATATATAAAATTTACTAAATTCGGTTAATAATCTTACGAATGTTACACTCAATTATAATCACTTGTCGGAGACCGTAACCAGTTTAATTCTAATTTCCTTTTTTTTTAACTTTAAGAATGATTTTCTTTATTTTATTTCAATTTTATTCATCTTTTTAATATTCCAAAATTATAAATATCATAAAAATTCATCAAAAAATAAGTAATGAAAAATTACAAGTTCTTTTTCAACAATAATCAAAAATTATCAATATTCATAGACATCGTTTTCTTTTTTTTTACATATTCAAATTAATCATAATTATATCTATATATTTGAATACAACACCTCCACCCTTTAAGATTAGCTTTCCAAGGCTTCATTCGTTAGTCCCCCACCTTCTCGCACCTCCAACTCTGAACCGTTCATTGAGGAGGCTGTGGTCGTCGGACAAAACCTTAATTTATGCATTCCTCCGCACACCCAACATGCTAATCGATTCTTCCGAACCCAATATGGCTCCATTCGTCGTTCTATCCTTTGTTTTCTGGGTATTTACTGCAGTAACTTTTCGTATCTTTGTTGGGCTTCTGCCCTTGCCGCTTTATCTGTTTGATTAGACCGATCCATCTGCTTTCCTGATTTCCATCTTGATAATCTTATTTCCTACTCTGACATATGATGCCATCTATAAAATTACTATAAAAATATATATCTTTCATAATCTTCTAATAATCTACTATCACCTGATAATTTCTTCACCGTTTAAACCCTCATAATTAGGTCTATCATTAAATTTATTTCCTCGAGAATGATTATTCTCCTCATTGATCTTTTGAAATTATGATTCTCCTAATTATGTCTATCATCAATTTTCTTTCATCTAACAATATGATTCTCAAATTAGGTCTATCATCAATTTATCTTCTTTTAATTGTATCCCCTGATAAATTATGATTCTCATCATTATGTCTATCATCAATATGACTCTCATAATTATGTCTATCCTCAATTTATCACTTTAACAATTGATTCTCATAATTAAGTATATCATCAATATGATTCTCATAATAATGTCTATCATCAATTTATTTCTTTTAATTGTCTCCTATATCTTTTACTTGCCCTAAGCTTCTCGGTCTTACTTGTTTTAGGTGTCTAGTAAAAGTGCCTTCTTGCCCTTCAATCTCTACTTCTACTTTTTTTTCCTATATTCTTACTTATTATACAGGATAGACATAATTATGAGAATCATATTGATGATAGACATAATGATGAGAATCATAATTTATCAGGGGATATAATTAAAAGAAGATAAATGATAGACCTAATTTGAGAATCATAGTGTTAGATGAAAGAAAATTGATGATAGACATAATTAGGAGAATCATAATTTCAAAAGATCAATGAGGAGAATAATCATTCTCGAGGAAATAAATTTAATGATAGACCTAATTATGAGGGTTTAAACGGTGAAGAAATTATCAGGTGAATAGTAGATTATTAGAAGATTATGAAAGATATATATTTTTATAGTAATTTTATAGAGGGCATCATATGTCAGAGTAGGAAATAAGATTATCAAGATGGAAATCAGCAGATGGATCGGCCGAATCAAACAGATGGATCGAAGCGGCAAGGGCAGAAGTTCAACAAAGATACGGAGAGTTACTGCAGGAAATACCCAGAAAACAAAGGATAGAACGACGAATGGAGCCATATTGGGTTCGGAAGAATCGATTAGCATGTTGGGTGTGCGGAGGAATGCATAAATTAAGGTTTTGTCCGACGACCACAGCCTCCTCAATGAACGGTTCAGAGTTGGAGGTGCGAGAAGGTGGGGGACTAACGATGGAAGGCTTGGAAAGCTAATCTTAAAGGGTGGAGGTGTTGTATTCAAATATATATAGATGAAATATTATTAATTTTGTTGTATTCAAATATATAGATATAACTATGATTAATTTGAATATGTAAAAAAAAAGAAAAAGAAAACGATGTCTATGAATATTGATAATTTTTGATTATTGTTGAAAAAGATACTTGTAATTTTTGATTACTTATTTTTTGATGAATTTTTATATGTATAATTTTGGAATATTAAAAAGATGAATAAAAATGAAAAGATTTTAAAATAAAGAAAATCATTCTTAAAGTTAAAAAAAAAGGAAATTAGAATTAAACTGGTTACGGTCTCCGACAAGTGATTATAATTGAGTGTAACATTCAAGATTATTAACCGAATTTAGTAAATTTTATATATTAATTTATTTATCAATAGATTCCTTCATTGTATTCAGTCTCTCCCACTAGCCTCAGCAAAGAAATATCAATCCCATTTTAAGGACTGGTACAGTAATCAGTGAGTTATATTTTATAATAAATAATTTAAAATAAAGTAATTTTGTATAGATATCTTTTTAATTTTGCCACTATATTAGCATGGTGGCAATGGTGGGATCCGACACTACTTATAGTTAGGAACCAAATATAAATTAGAAAAAAGAACAGAAGGGGGAATGTATACATTCGAAATTTATTTTATATTGTATTAACTTAATTATATTATTTCTTTCACGTGACATAAAATTCAATAATTGATATGTGATTCTTACGTTTATATTTTTTTTCATTTTGCGTTATAGTTTGGCGTTTAATTTATTTTTATATTTTGGGTTTTAGTTTGGCGTTTGAATTTATTTTTTAGTAGAATGTACTATTTATTGGGTATTTTTCCAAGTGTTTTATGTACAGATCTTATACATGTCTCATCTATGGACATGATAAAATCTTTAAACCTCTCGGGTTTTTTTGGTGCTCGAACCGGTTTTGGCCATATTCGAATAAAACTCGGTGTTGAAGTATTGACAACATTCTTTCCCTTAAAGAAATCCTCCTGAACGTGATTATTAATGTTGGTCGTGTCACATGATCTTTTTTTATTTGATCCAGTTGCCGTCTTATGATGCGGTTACCTGTTTCGACTTTGTATAAAAGGTCGCTATGCTTTCGTTTGATAGTACCTTTATCCCATTTGTTTTCGCCAAATACTTTGAACCAAACCTTATCCCCTAAGTAAATGATCCTGGTTTGTTATGATAGTTATTATTATAACTATAAGTTTTAAATAGAAAATTATTATGTTTTTGATCCCACTTTGGATCATACATATTTATTTTGATCTTTAAGTTATTTCATTATTTTTATATTATTGTATAACACATTTTTTTTTATCTCTAACATCTTTTGGTTATAACTTTAGTATCGATGTTTTCTGCCTCATATAACAAAAAGATCATATGACACGACCAACATTAATGATCACGTTTAGGAAGATTTCTTCAAGGGAAAGGATGTTGACAGTACTTCAACACCGATTCTTATTCGAATATCGCCAAGACCGGTTCGGGCATCAAAAAACCCAAGAGGTTTAAAGATTTTTCATGTCCATAGATGAGACATGTATAAGATCTCAGTTCATAAAACACTTGGAAAAATACCTAATAAATAGTACATTCTCTAAAAAATAAATTCAAACGCCAAACTAAAACCCAAAATATAAAGATAAATATAAATTTAATGCAAAATATAAAAATAAATTTAAACGCCAAACTAAAACGCAAAATGTAAAAAAAATATAAACGTAAACGCTAAACTAAAAGCGAATCACATATCAATTATTGAATTTTATGTCACGTGAAAGAAATAATATAATTAAGTTAATATAATATTTCGAATATATTAACAAAAGCTAAGCCTGGAAATGCATCTCAAACTAAATTTAAACATTCAGTTGATCATTTTGCTAATTAAAAAGGATTCATCTTTCTATTTATTACAAAATATTGTATGAATAAGTATTTCCCAACTCCTGATTATTTTTAAAATATTTCTTATTCTTTAACTTCATTTTATAATTGTGATATCTCATCAAGCAAAAAAAGTAAATATAACATTAATATCTTTAGGGCCGAGAGCCGGGTGGCCTAATTTTATCGATAATGTGGCCCAGCCTGGGTTAAGACTGAAGGACCAAAAGCTTTTAAGATATGATATAAAATTTTTAAAAAAAACCTTTCTGTGTTTGGGTATCAGTCTCGTAAGCCCAAGGGGGTAACACGACATCGTTCACTCTTTGGCCATCTTGTTTAATACCCAAGTCTAATTTCTAGGAGGGTTATTTTTGTTGAGAAGTATTATATTATATATTATTTTTTTTCAAATTGCCCGAGTAAAATTAATATGGGATGATGGAATTTTATTATATTTATTTCTATTTATTATGGATGCTTCAAAATGTTATTTTTTTTGTTGAACACGTTAAGATTTTATGTAATAATCCAATAAAAACCAGTTTTTGACGATTTTTTTTGGCCAACATTTTGAGCAAAAAATCTTTGAAGATTATAAAATTGAAGATTCTTCAATAAAAAAGATTTGTTCTTAAAAAAATTCAGAAGTGTATTTTAAAATAGAAGACTGCAATATGCGGGTTTTTAGACTGCACGTCCACTCTAATGGCTGATTTTTTAAAAATTTTAAACATTGGGCGGGTGAGCGGGCGAGTTACAAAATACTTTTGAATAAGGCGCTCGGGTTAAACCCCGCCTATTTATAGGTTAAATACAATTAGGCGATTTTTCCTAAAAATACCATGATCAAATAAAAAAAGGACAATATAATTATTTTAAAAAAAATATGAGAATCGAATTCAAATAGTACCATATAATTGATCAAAAATTGTTCATCAAATCGGTTTATTTGGGAATTACCGCGCAGTATCGAATCAAATTCAGAATCGGTATCCTTTTTCTCGTCTTCCCCTTCGAACAAAGAGCAATCGTAAAATTGAGGAGTTAGCTCTTTAAAATCACCGATGGAAACACTTCATAAATATTTTAGTTTAAAAAAAAAATTAATTTTAATTGGTCTCCATTTAGCTTTCCTTTTATTTTTATATTGTCGTTTTAGATGGACATATAAAAATACCTAGGCCGATGATTGGCTCACTTTAAATATGTATCAATACAAATCAGCTGGTGATACACAATTTTGGTTTTCCCATAATAATAAATTTTTTTTATAATATTATTTAAAAACAAATTTAAAAACCAGTTAAATAGCAGACTATAAAAAGCATATACCAACCAAAAAATAACTGTGTTCATCACCCATATACACCAACACTCTTAGAATGATTGGTACTGGGGCCCTTTAAACTCATCAAAATGTAGCAAGAGAATTGATACCAGAGATTCCCACGAGGAATTCTATCGTCTTTAAATTATTTTAATCCTTGTTATAACCTTTGTTCCTTGTAGCTCAATCCACTGCACATGGAAAATGTTCTAGCTATATTATCGAATATCCGGTCAGGTCTATCAAACCTCCCGGATAGTAAAGAGATCGAATGTTCCGGAACGGACCGAATAGCGTAATAAAGTACGAAACCTGGGCAAGAATAGTGAGAACCGTATAGAAAGGCTCCTCTAGGTAAAGTCAAAGACTTTTCGGGGTTGATTTTATCGATGTTTGCGAGGATTTGATTGGCGCAAGTTGGGTCATTAGAAGAATGAGGTACAGAGATGTCAGGGAGATCGGAAAGCATTTCGTTCATTCTAGACTAAGAGTAAAATTAGGGAAAAAAATCTATAGAGAGGTTTCTCCTTTTTATAAATAAAAAATATATAATTTACAAGTGTTTCTAATTTATTCTCTTTTTTTCTTTTTCTCTCGGTAGACTTCCTATTTACAAAGCCTTCACCAGAGAATTTCAGAGGAGATATTTAAAAATTCGAATTTTAGGCCTATGTTTTACCCTTTATTTAAAAAAAAAATATAGAATATAATATCAAACAATCAGGTGTCTGTTCGCACGGCTCGCTGACAATTTGTACAAAATAAAAATCTTAAACGCGAAATTGAAAAAATAATTATGAACAGGGCCAAAAGATTTAGTTGGGAAATCTGTGAAAGATATTTTTTGAACCGGGCCGAAAACCTTTTCAAACGGGGATCGGTTCAGGCCATACCGATCTCTAATCTCAATAGGAAGTTTTGATGAATCATTTTTTTTCTCTATGTTGCAACTTGCGAGGCTAAAATCGTAAATCGGCCAAAGAAAAATAAGGAGGGAGGAAAGAATGGAATAAGAATAACGAAAATAATTAAAGAAGAACAAAAAAAATATATAAATAATTTTTTCTAATAAAGGCAATATGTTATACAATATGATTTTTTATTATTATTTGTTACTCTTTTTACAAAAATTCTTATATTTTTAAAAAAAAAAATTTGACTCTAAAATAAATCGGTGAACTTTAAGTCTATTCAATCTATTAGACTCTAGAGCTCCCATAGGTTTGGATAGATCCCTATAAATGTTTGGATCCGTTAAATCGATTGAACGAGATGTGTAATTGGAAAGGACCCAAGGAAATACGGGATATTGAGTCAGATCGTAAAAGCTTCTGTCGGCTAGACTATAAAAAAACAATATATTTATTTTTATATTTTCAATTATCCCAAACTATATCATTTAACCCCCCCCCCCTTCAATGTAAAGATTAACTACCTGTTCAATTTAAGCAAATAATCGTAATTGGACATCCTGCCAGACATCCAGGCTTGCGTGAATTCGCGGAGGCTTTCTTCCGCGTTCGTGTTTATTGCTCGTACAGCTTTATAATTATAACAATAGGTTATAGTTATATACGTTTGTTACTTTTAAGTCAAATTCAGTGTGCCTTTGCTAGAAAAGGGCAATTTGAGTCGAGGTTAAAAAAACGTTTCTCCAAGAAAGATAATCAACTTTTTTTAATATGTCAATCCAAATGTTATGAGCCAAATATCGGAATATTTAAAAATTGAATATTCGGATGTAAATTTATGAGTCATTGTTTATATCGAAAATTCGAAATATAAGGAAATTTTTTTTTATTATTGATGATTTATTAAAGATATTTTGGGTATAAAGTTCCCAAAGAAGTTATTATTTAGTAAATAAAGGTAATATATTCATAGTTCGTGGGTTGGATTAGTTATTATAGGATTCATATTAAACTTTTTATTTCATTTCACCCCTAGAGGGTCTCATTCCACCCATTTTATTTTATTTAAACTCCTTAACTTTACCATCCTATAAAAGTAATCAAAATGGAGTTAAAACTAAAGTTGGGTAATGGCTAAAAGTCGGCTAATTCGACTTAATCTTCAAGCGCCTGCTGGATAAAATTCGTTAAAATTAAGGCGCTTTATTATATATTAGTTTCTTCCAAATTTGAGCGCTATCTTTTTAAGAAAAACTCCGAGGCTAACGTCATAGTTTTCGGCTAAAAATATAGTAATTACTCAACTATAGTTAGAACCCTATAATAATTAGGAGACGATTCTTTTAAAAAAAAATGATGTCGGGTACATAGAACATGGAGATATTTATTTTAAAATGTTATATTATACTTATAAAATTTTAAAATGATTTTAACTTATAAGATAAGATACCATATAAACTATATCAAAATAAAATATATTTTTTAAAAAAAGCAATAAGAATAAAACTTATTATAATAATTATAATTTATTAACAATTATAAAACAAAATAAAAAATAGTATTTGCAATTATTCAAATTCTTTTCTTAAAAAAAATCTTTTGCCTTGTATTTTATAATTATTTATATATGATAAATTTATATTAATTAATAAACTGTCGATAGAAGTCAATATGTTGTGGAAAGATTCTCTCTTGGATTGGGAAGAGAAAGAAAGGTAGATATGTTTGAAGGACTGAACCGGGTTGGAACCGGAAGTGACATCTTGTTCGCACTGAATTTCTACACCCTTTTATAAAATCATAATATTCGTTTAAATAAACTACACTAAACCTAGTAATATAAATTTTGAGACATTCGTTCGTTTTCATGTTCATTCATCTCGCTTTTAATTCATTCGTTCATAAGGGAGCTTACTATTTGCCTCAATTTGAAGCGTCGTTTAAATATCGAAGTTATATCGGAGAGTCTAATCTTGAAATCCGGTACCTATGATATATAAGGGAGGAGGTGAAAAAGGAGAACACATTAAAAAAATGTCATAAATAAGCCTTACTTATATGGCGGTGCAGATATTAAATATCTGATCGGGGCGGATATTCAATTCTGATCGACGCCTATATTTAGCGTTTAAAAAAATATATTTTATCGGGCCGATAGTTTCAAAAAACAGATTCGATATTTTCATTGTTTTAGATATTTTTGAGTTGTAATTATAAAATATTTTTCATTTTATAAATAATTAATTGTAAATTATTAAAAGGAAGCCATTCAATTTATTTGTAATATTTAAAAAAAATGAAATTATTATAAAAGATAAGAAAATAGCTAAAATTTGATATATTTTATTTTATTACAAAATTATGTAACGAGTCACATCTAGCGTTGTTATACAGCTCGATTCAGACAATTTTTTTTAAACGGCTAACTCAAAATTTTAACCAAAAGTAAATTACCCAAGCTTGGAGATTTTGCCCGCAGATGGAAGAAAGATTTACATCTTTCGGCAAAATTTCGAGGCTTATGTAAAATAATATTTTGTCTAAATCTTCTACTTTCAAACCATACTACATTCAGCCATAAATATTGACTAAATTTTAAATGAAATGATTAAATTTGGGAGAATAAAATAAAAACTAAATACACCTAATCATTCGTAAAAGTTAGTTTTGGGGTATTTTTTTTGAATGGGAAATATTGATTTTTTTATATGGGTGGTTCAAAGAGGTATTATAAATAAAAATTAATCGAAATATAGGATCGGTTTTGTGGTAAATCGGATTGGTGAAAGATTTATCAATCGACACAACCCTATTTATTTTGATATTTTTTACTGGTATATATTTTTATAAATGAAATAAATCATTTTCAATATATATATGATATTCAAATATAATTATAATAAGTGTATAAGAAATAAAAATACATAAAGAAGTTCATTTCATTATATAAAAATGGTTAATAAAATAAATATAATTTTTGTTTGCTTTTTATATGAATAAAAATATAAAGTGAGCTGAAGTATGGTTTCATTAATCGCGAGCCAACAAAATAAAAAAATTTTTAATGAGAAATATTGGAAAAATTTATAAAATAACAAAAATGATTAATGAGAAAAATGATTGATTTATTGCTTATTTTAATAGAAAAATATAACATTATTTTAGATGATATATTCAAAAAAATGGAAATTTTAAGATCTTTTCAAAAAAAATTTTAATTCTTTGATATAATCGGTTTTAATTTTATTGATAACGGGGCTTCAGATATAGGTACATTGATCGTAGTTTCATTCACGGGAAATGTCGCTGAAGGATCCTCCAACCCTTGGGATCTGGTAAAGGTCATGATTAACTCGACATTAATTTTATTAAACCCAAAAATAACTAAAATAGACTTTTACAAAACAAATATTTTACCAACCCCGCTTCAGTTTCGGAATTAGGACGATCTACCCTTCACTAAGGAATGGTATGACTAAATACTGCATTGCTAAATTTTCTTATATAATTTTTTTTTTAAATAATTTTCAGAAAGATTTTTTTAAATAAAAAATAGAGATTTAAATATCAAATAATTTAGAATTCTATTTTTACTTAGTATCAATGAAAAAAATTTATTCTCCGGATTTAAGATGATTTCCGGGACCTAAGTATCTAATTTATAATTAATGGAAACTTCATACCGCATTGGTAAAAAGCAATTAATCCAAAATTTTATTATATAATATTTTTTTAAAATTAATTTTCAGAAAGATTTTTTTAATAATAAAAAATAGAGATTAAATATCAAATAATTTATTTCTATTTTTTACTTAATATTAATGGAAAAAAAATATTTACTAGTTTATTACAACTCAAATTATATTTTTCAATTTTAAAATTTAACTAATATTATATCCATAAGAGGGCGTTAAATGCATGAATATGAAAATACCATCTTAGGAAACCAGAATTAAAAATTCGATTGAACAAATTTACTAGTAATATCAACAAAAAATATTTTAAAAATATCTTGACCGATAATCGAATTGTAACAGACCACTTACTAAATATTTAATTTTTTCTCAATTATATATCAAGTACGACATCTTAAAAATGATTGAATAAACTAGCTTTTCTCATCGAGATCTATCTAACCCCCAACACAAAATAAACTATTAAAAAATTGGCGCAATAGCAAAGAAGATTAAATTTTCATATATGAACGATATTTTGACTCACTTTTTAAATCTATAAAATTTTTAATTTTATAATGTATTGTAATTTACATACTGATTTATATAATTTTTTTAACCGTATATATTTACACTTAATATTTTGTTTTTTCAATATTTTATTATTTGTGTTCGAAAGTATCATATTTTCAAATATAAATTAGTTCTAATAAACTTTTAATGCTCCAAAAAAAATCATTTCAATATTAAAAAAATTACCCTCCCCCCTCTTACTTCCGTAGAAAATTCTTGGCTGCCTGGTATTTTTCGATTTCATTATAATTAAAAATTCTAAAAGTTTTAAAAAAATTAGAATTTTAAAAAAAAATATTTTGGCATTATCCTAAAAAGAAAAAAATGAAACGTGAAAGAATAAACAAATAATTTTAAATAATAGCCGTTAAAATTTTAAATTATTATATAATTATAAATCATATTTTTAAAATATCTGATTTCCTCCAATATTTAATTAGGTAAGATATATAATTAATAATTTAAATTAAATGACTAAATACTGCATTGCTGGCGTTATACATGGGAAATTCTTTATATTCCAAAAATTATTAACATATAATAATAACGGTTTCAAATCGGTTATCCCTCAAATCACGATATTTTAAAAATATTTTTTGGTTTTACACGTATTTATAGATATATAAATCAAAAATGAACATATTTCAATTGATATTACTAGGAAATTTGGTCAATCAAATATTTAATAAATGGTCGGTTTTTCGGTATTCGGTCAAATCATAATATTTTCAAGATATTTTTTAGGATAAAGCTTAATACGTAAATGTACGCGTATAAGATAAAAATGAAAAGATTTTGTTAAATAACGCCAGCAATATATGCCTCACAAATTTTCTATTATTTTACGATTCTAAACCTACTCATATTAAATATCAAACACGCCTATCATTTTTAAAAAATTTTTATTTCCCAGTATTTACACCCAAATATAAAAACAAGCGCTAACCAATAATCATTTTAGTTTCCTAAGATGATATTTTCATATTTATTCATTTAACGCCCTCTTATGGATATATATTTGTTAAATTTTAAAATTGAAAAATAAAATTTAAGTTGTAATAAGGTAGTAAATAGTTTTTTTTCCTCCGTTAATATTAAGTATAAATAGAATTATAAATTATTTGATATTAATCTAAATTTTTTATTAAATAAGATTAATGTATATTAAAAAAAAATGTTTCTGAAAATTATTTTAAAAAAAAAGATTATATAATAAAATTATGCTTGACCGCAAAAGTATCAAAAACCCCTGATTAAAAGAAAACACAAAAGCCACTTTATTTTACTTTTAATGTAACAAAACGGCAATTTTTCACAGTTTACATATATTTTTTTAAAACTTTATCACAAAAAGTTTTTAGCATAAACGAAAATCGCGAATCCTTATTTCTTAAACAAAAACTCCAATTGGAAATTTTTAAACACAATTATACTTGTTTTTTAGGTACATTTTCATTATTAAATTAAGCTCTTTTTAGAGCCTTCGATACTAATAATATATATTTTTATTTAGTAATTTTATATAGTTGTTTTAATATTTTAGTGTTTTATCTTTTTTTAAAAAATTTATACCAATATCAATATTTTTTTTTATTAAAACATAGTTTATAATATTAAAATTAACATATCAAATATGAAATAAAATATTTTTATAAAAACGGAGGTGGGACTACAAGTCCCCAAAAAACATGAATAGTTATATTTTAAAATAGTTATTTGTAGGTTTTGTTTTAAAAAATAGTATTCTTTTGGTTCTGATGTAAGGGCTCTTGTCTTATCGCCTATATTTTTTAAGAACTTTAAAGTTCCGCTTGGCATATGTCCAAGAAAAGAGATAACGATCGGTGTAAAAATATAATTTGTGAATTTGGATTATTTCATTTCTCGGCTACATCAACCGGATTAGAATTTAAATTTTTTGGGAAAGAAGATACGCATATGAGTCCCAAATTAAGGATTTCCCTAAAGATCAAGGCACGGAAGTTAAGCCATCTGGTCTTAAGCCATCATCTAATGATAAATTTGTAGGCTCCAGGATGTTTGATATTCGGGCCCTGGTAAGAGAACGGCTAATAGCTACTTTGCATGCCTGCCTTGACTATATATACAATTTAGACCATGTCTCCCTTTGGAGTCAACTAATATTTTACATTTGATGCATGTATGTGGTTGAACAATGTTACATCCAAGTCGATGGCCTATGGCAATTCTTAGTTGTTCATCTGATAAGAGGTTACCTAGGTTACGACTTGGTAATGCTTCCAACCATTCATAACCACTAGTACAGTCAGCATTCTGTAATAGTTAAATATACTCCAAAGGGGGGATTGATGAGATTAAAAAAAAATTTTTTAATTAAAGGTTCGAAAACAGATTGGAGTGTTAAGATTGTGGGTAAAATAGCTTCAGGTGGAGCTAAAGATACCCAGGCTGTCAAGGCTGAGTTTAAAAGGTTATCTTTAGGAGAGATAAAATCATGGCGTTATTCATAAAACGCGATGCCAAAAATGAGGTAAGAGATATAAGATTTAAAGGATATAAATCCAAACCACCCATTTTCGAGGGTAATTGCGAGAAACCCCAATTAAAATCTTCCAATTTAATATTCAAAATATTTTCTAATAAACTTCTAAAAAATTCATAAACACGATTAATAATTTCATTATTTAAAAAAAAAAAATAATAATATTAAAAATTTAATTTTAAAGAGGGACTTTAAACTACTATTTTTAATTTATATGCAATTAAGGAGAAACAAAAGAGAGAAAAAAATGAACTGGTTTAAAATAACAGAAACTATATTTATCACTAATTTAATTATATTAATTTTAAATTAGATTAAATTTGGTTATGATTTTATATGAATATAATTTTAAACAATATGGAATTTTTAAAATTATATTATTATTCTATTTAGATTTTTTTCAAAACTAAATTGAAAGTAATTATAAAGTTATTGTAAGTAGTAGATTAAAAATTAAATGACAAATATATTTTTTAAAATATATTTTTTATCGTTGTCGGTTCGAAATTTTTTCTTTGTCGCGAAAACATACAGGGGGGAAAGGCTATCTAATTTCAAAATTATATCATTAAACTCAAAATTAAATTTCTAATCTAAAAATGCTTAGGTGTATTTGTTTTCGTTTTCGGCTCAAAAAATAATTTCGTCGCGAAAATATTCAAGGAGAAAAGGCTAACTAACATCTTAGAAGTATTTTCGACAAAAAAATTGTTTATCGAACCGGAAACGTAAAAAGAATACATCTAAGTATTTTATATTGGAAATTTAATTCTGAGTTCAATGATATAATAATATTTGAAATTAAGTTTAAGATGTTAGCCTTTTCCGACAAAAATTTTTTTTCTTAAAATTTATATTTGCCGTTTAATCCTTCTACTACTTGCAATAACTTTATATTTACTTTCAATTTAGATTTGAAAAAATAAATAGAATATATGTAATTGTAAAAATTTCATTTTTTAAAATTATTATTCATATAAAATCATAACCAAATTTAAAATGATCTAAAAATTTCCATTTTTTTAATATATCATATGTAATGTTATTCTAACATTTTTATTTTCAATATTTTATAGACCAACCCGAAATATTTATTAACATTTTTTTTATATTTATTTTCTTTCATTCTTCCTTATAAAAATTTGTGATATTTTTTTTAATTTAGCCGTTTAATATTATATATGTGTTACAAGAAGAAGAAAAATTAAAAATACTTTTTTTATATTGATTAATTTTTTTTTCACCCTTCTTATTTAAAAATAGATCTAATAGTAACGGATACGTATTATAAATTATTTGCTATGTTCGAATACGAATTATCGATTCAAATTTGAATCAATAAATTATCCGGAATAATTATTAATATATCTTCTAATAAAATCTAATCCTTTATCATTTCTACTGATAACCTAACAATCAGACAGGTTATGTGATTAATAAAGTATTCAACTGCTTATGAAAAGGATTCTCATAGTTGGAATTTGCAAATCCCATGTCTTATACAGAAAAAAAATAATAAAACTCCTTGCTTTAAAAAATGCCTTGGCATAATAAATTAAATTTAATATGCATTCTTCATTTAATTAACAATTTTATCGCATATTCTTTTATTATCAGATTATCATAAATTTTATTTTCGTGTGTGAATTATTTTTTATTTTAAAATACAAACGAATTATTCGGTTCGAATAAAATAGCAAATTTTATTATTCGTATAAATAGATCAAATCGAATACGAATAATGCACCATTCGATTAGTATACGTTTTTGAATAAGCTTCCCCTAGACTATTCTAAACCAACTCTTCAATCTGTACAATTTATACTTATAACTTGTGTTAAAATATCTATAAAGTACATTGTGGTATTTTAATATTTTTTAAAAAAGGCTCAATTATTAAAATGGCAATATATAACTTTATAGAAAAAAATAAATTATTATTTCGAGCAACATATTAGTTGATTCAAGCAAATAAAAATAATTAATAAAAAAATGAAAATTTAGGCAAAAAAATAGAAGGAATTTCAAAATTAAATAAGGCTGTGTCCAAAATCATTTCTAAAAAAATTCGAAAACTTTTGTAAATTTTAAAATTTTAATGAAATTGTTTTGTTAAATTTTAGAAATTAACAAAATTTTTTAAAATTGGACATGTTTTTAATTTTATATAATTTCGAAAGTTTGTGAACCTAATTGTTGCTGTTTTGGACATGGCTTTAACCCTTCATATTACAGATAAAAAAAAATGACAAGAAAGTGTAGTAAATTCATTCTAACTTAGAAATTCTTTATTTTATTATTAAAGCTTTTGCCAAAAAAGTGGGTCAATGGGTGTAATATGGACTAAATATTATATTTTCTAGCGGGCCTAAATTTTTTAATTTTTTAATGGGCTTTGGCCGGGCTTGGATCTAAATTTTTTAATATAAATTTAGCTTATTTAAACAGTTGCTAACCTAAAAATTTTAATCTTTTGCTTTTATATTGTAAACAAAATGGTTGCCTAAATACACATAAATATTGTTTATTTCAATTAAATACAATAAATCAAATTTTGGATGGTTGCCTAAATACACAACACATAAATATTGTTTATTTCAATTAAATACAATATATCAAATTTTGGATTGTACTTGAGAATTTCTTTCAAATTTAAATATGGGCCAGGCCTTAACCTAAAAAATTTTTTTTTACTATGGGCCTGGGCCGGAATTGATCAAAAAATGAAAGCCTATGAAAGTCTATTAATATAATTAAATTTAAAGATGATTTATATATATCAATGCTAAAACAGGTGGAAAAAAGTTACATGTATGATCAGGTGAGGCCTATGCAGACCCCAAGCTCAAAAAGACGCTTATATTGAACTGTCAAAAAAAACCAAAATTAATTTTGCAAATATATACTTTACTTAAAAATATTAAGCTACTACAAGATGCAGGCAAAATAAAAAAAAATTTTAAGATTTTAAGATAACGCTTTTTAAATGACAATTAATTGTTTTGTTCTTGACAAGGAAAAGAATTTCCATAAAATATTAATTAGAGAATGCGTGTAGATAGCCAAAACATCAAGAATTGAATGGTTTTTTATAAGATACTCATGTTATGTTTCTAAAATCTTACCAAGAAAATAATTTTTTTATCTTAAAATAAAATTTAAAATATTAGGTATAATTAAAAATAAGTGAGAGAGTAATAAAATCTCTTAATTAAACCTGACTTAAATTGTGCAATGGTTGATAGTATAATTTATGAGATGTCAGAATAATTCTACCCGGCACTATTACCAATGGCAATATTTGACAAGCATCCATTTGTAATTTAATTTCCTCGTTAATTGGATCATCCAGCCTATGGTTTATAAATAAATCATAAATTTAATCTTGTTTTTTTTGTCATCCATTTTTTGTTTCTTTTTATACTTTTTAAATTTTAATTAATTAAATTAATTCATAGGTATCAAGAAGGGGGCGAGTAGTCCACCAATTGGGAGAAATATGTTTATAAAAATTCCCGCCTATTTACTTTCATTTTTCATCCTCATACTAAGAGCAGTGTCGGCGCTACCAATCTCATGTCCTATGCAAAAAAACCCCAATCGAAAGTCCCCTAGGCAAAAAAAACAGCAAAAGCACTAATTTTCAGCCCAAATCTTTTTTTTAAAGATTATTACATAATAAATAAATATTTTCATTTTTAAAAGGAATAACAAAAGTAAAAATTAAATCCCATATTTCAGGTATCTATAAAATGCCGTATATGATAACCGACCTTATCTTCATTGACGATCTCAGATAACAATAAGTTTTAATTCTTTTTTAATATATTCTTGGGGGTTATAATGTCGTCATAACATTGTAGACGAAATTCTTTATCGAATTATTGAACTTTCAAAAATTTTGGCTCAAAATTTAAAGAACACAATTAGTATATCTTTAATTCCTCGAAAGATTCATTATTTCTTATTAATTACACTCTTTTCTAGAAATATTTGGTATAATCAGATCTTTCATGCTTAAGAGCGGAATTTGCATTAATTTACCTATGAAATTAATATTATAGCTATTATTATTTATGTAGAAATAATTTCAAAATTTTTATTTCTTTAAAAAAATATATTACTCCAGCTTAACAACAATATATTAATCGAATAATAGTTTGTTTGTATTTTCAAAATAACTTTATACAAAAAATCATGTATTAAGAGTTTTTCGACTTCCCATCTCGTATCTGGGAATCTTTGAATAATTTTATCTTTTAAATTATTTTATAATATTCAATCCAAATTAATTTTGAAGTTGAAAAAAAATTAAATATTTTACTTATTAAAAAAAATTGCTAATGTTGATTTCATTATCATAGCCCTATACTCGCGACTTTTCAATTCATAGTAAATTTAAAACAAATACAAATTTTCATTTTTGCCAGTACTTCATTCAACAGGTACAAATTTTAATAGATGTTTTATATTTGAACTTTTATTTTTCACGTCTACAAATCGAAATGCTAATGAAGTTTGATTAAAATCTGGAGTATAGTATAGGTCAAAAAAATTTTAAGTTGGCGGAGTTGTGGGCGGGTTGAAATTATTTTTAAAACAATGGCCAATGGAATATATTTTTCAGGGAAAATGAACAGAACAATAGAACTAGTTTATTTATTAAAAAATATATTTTTTATTGCATATTTTATAAGTTTAAGTAAAAATATATTAAAATAAATAAAAAGCCAAATAAGCCAATATGATTTTAAAAAATCGGATAGGCGATAATTTTTTTAGAATAATGTCTAAAACATTTGGCGGGCGTGCTTATGGGTTTCTAGAGTAGATTCCAATAGAATGGATAAATTTTTGGAGTATCAAGCGTCCAATAATTTTGGTTTGAATTGCATTTACAATTAAATTTTAATTTGAATATTTTTTTCTTACACATTTCTTGAAATTAGATTTAAAAAATTTAATATTTTAATATAACCATAGAGTCGTTATTGATTTTGTGAAAATTATGTAGATATATATAGGATCTTCCATCTATAAATGATAAGATTTAGATAGCTTGTTAAATTACTGTTTATAAGAGTTGGTAGAGTAGAGCAAAAATGCAATGTTTAGAACCAGATACTCTAAAAAGTATCACTGCTCAAAATAAAAAAAAAATAAAAGATTTTTAACCTCTCGATATTAAAAAAATGAATATTTTTTTGAGAATGCAGGATTTCTGATCAAATTTTAAATCCTTTTTGTAATTTTTATGCATAGAATCATTCAGGGATCCAAACCGAACCGAACCTTTAAACCGGCATTAGCAGTTATTTTTTATCAAACCTTAACCGAATCGTTAAATCATTTTCTATCCCACTTGAACCGTTAAATGTCTGTGATTCGGTTTGAACCGTTATGATTTTTCTTTTTTTTAAATATAAAATGCTTTTTTCTAAAAAATTTGAATAAGCATTAAAAAATTATTAATTTTTGTTTATTTTTCTTTCAAATTATCGTTTATAGTTATATTGTATTCATTTTTAGGGGAGAAGGAATGAGGAGTATGTAGGGGAGGAGAGTTTATTAACTTAAAATGAAACATATGAAAATATGCAAATTTCGGAAGGGGAGATTTCTTGTCCTTCCTCCCTGATTACGTCTATGGATACAATTATGAAAGATAGTCATAGGGCAAATATTGATCTTAACATAAAGAAATCATTCTCTTAGAACTGGTAATTAACTAAATATCACAACAAAAGTCAAAAAAAAAGATTAAGATGCCGTCATTCTAAAAAATTCATGAAGAAGCATTTAAAAAGAAGGTCATAACATAATCTATTAGAAAGATCAAATATTAGGAATATTTTAGTTATTTTTAAAGAACCTCATCATATTGGCAGTACCGGCTACTCAAGTTAGCGTAGAAAGATGTTTTCAAACAATAAAATAACCAGTTTTCGAGATTCAAAAGGGTTTTCGAGATTCGAACATAACCGACATTATAATTTTTTACGAACTGAACCCAAAATAAGCCTATATTCGGTTAAAATCCCTGAAATATTTCATGATAAAATCAATTTTCTCAAAATTTTGAGCGAAAATTTTTTAATACTAATTTGAAAATTTTCCTTAAAACATTGTATTTTTAGAAACATTTTAATATAATTTTACTTTTTTTTTAATTTTCAAATCCTTTATTAACCAGAAAACGCAATTGCGTTTGGTTGCTTCTTTACACTTGGTAAATAATTACAACCGAAACATATTTAAACTACATGTGTATTATCAACAAAGGGACATTTTTATCACAAAATACAAAAAAAATTTATGATCAAAAATGCAAATTGATATGATCAAAATAACTATGGCTCATATTTGAGAACAATTAAAAAATTGTTGGCAATGATATTTTAACTTTTATACTAATCATTATATATTTTAAGTAGATATTATTTTTTTTGGATATAATTTTTATATTGTTAAGTCACAAATTTTACTTATTAAAATAAGTGTGAAGTTTAAAAAATTCATTATTTTATTTTATTTTACGCAATGGATGACAACATGAAATCCAGATGAATTCAGCATTGATAATTATATATCTTTATTGCAAAAATATTTTAATTATAAATAATCTTTAATCTATTATTTTAATAATATATATTTAGAACGATTGATAAAATTCTAGTTATATATATTATTCTTACTTAAAAATAATTTGTACAAATTTAATTGAACATATTTTCGTTTATAATAATTTTAAAAAAATAAAAAATGGCTTTTATATTTATTTTGAAATAAAAATTATAAAGCAAGATGGCGCTAAAGCGTTTTAATGTTAAACATTTGTGAAATTGGTTGTGACTGGTGTTCTAAGTTTAGTAGAAAAACATTAAAAACATATAGGCAAAGTTTAAAATCGATAGTGCAAATCTTCTTAACTCGACAAGGGAAAAAGTGAATTAAACAACTTAGTTTTGGATCAGATAATGTTTTGGGTAGTAGAACAATATTTTAAAAAGTTTAAAATTGTTAATGTTAATTTTATACTCCAAGAGGGAAAATAATAATTTTTAAGAGCTTAATTTTGGACTGGATAAAAAGTTTAGGGTTATAAATGAACGTTACAAAACTTATGGATTTTCAGCGATATTAGAATTTTAGGGTGATATGTTAGAGGGCTTCTTCTTATCAGTGTTAATTTCAGAAGCAAGCACTGCAGGAATATGCCTAATGGCACGATAAAAATGCATTTTTTAAGGGCGCAGCATTAAAAAATTTTTTTTGAATATATTGTTTAGTTAGTTGTGTTATTAACCTGAAATAATAAATGAATTTATATTTAAACCTGATTATTTTCTAAAAGAATGATATTTAAATCATTTGGTGGATATATTGTTGAGCTTATATAGAAATGCATGCTCTAGTGATATAAAAAGATCGAAAAATCTAGAAAGCCTTATTCATTATCTCAAAAAAGTCATCCAAGATCAATCTTTTGGATAACAGTGTTAAAAGATAACTATTGAAATGATAAAATTATCTAAATATGGTTAATGTTTAGGTTCGAAAAGTTGTAGGAAAGAGGAAGGGGTAGTTATGTTAGGGTCTAAGAATATTTAGTAAAATTCCTATTGCTCTACGCGTTCTAGTTTTTGGCGAATTCTTATCAATGAACTCGCAAATATTAAAAATATCCCAATGCCATCGTAAAGGACGAGATTAAGAATAAAAGAAGGGGAAAACAGGTCGAAGATTTATAACTAATACAAATTTATCATTTTTTTAAAAGTCTAGCACCGGCACTGTCTAACGTACATAGTTCATTAAGTCATGCTAACTTACCTTAATAAGAGTTTTGGTTTTTTAAAAGTTATTTTTATTATTGTTATATTTTTTATATTATTGATTAATAAAATTGAATTAAAAGATTTTCCAGGAAAGTTCAAACTGAAATGAAACAGGAATACAAAAATAACATTTTATACAAAATGTATTATCACAAATGGATTATCACAAATATGGATTACTACAAAGCTATTTCCACAAATGCATTATTGTGAATGCATTAACGCTAAAACAATTATCATGAATGGATTACCACGAAAATATTATCGCAGATGCATCAAAGCAAATGTATTATAATGAAAACATTATCGCGATTACATTATAGAGAATATATTAATGGAAACATTACTGCGAATACTTTATCACTAAATAATTATCTCGAATTCATTAGAACGAACGTATTACAGCAAAAACAATATCGCGAATGTATTAGAACAAATATAATACTGTGCAATTAGCAAAAGTAATACCGCTTATCACCACAAAAAAATTACCGCAAAAGCATTATAGCAAATACATAATGGTGAATGCAATATCGCGTAAATGCAGCGAATGCTATAATTAATATAAGGTATATTAAAATTCCTTTACTACTTGTATATTTTTTTTATTTTACAATAAAGAGTTCATCAATTAATATATTTTCATATTTTGTTACCTTTCCAAAGTGTTGGCCCCATAATTGTTCTTAAGCAGATCTCTTTTTCTCTAATGAAATTATTTAAACTCTCTACTACTATACCCTAGTTCATATAGCACGTTCAAACCTTTTTCAAAGAACTAGAGGGCCAGTCTAATTGACGTTTTAATATTTGTTTTGGGTATTTATCAGAGTCAAGATAATGCTTTTGTGGTATTGCAATCGCGATATTATTTTGGTGCAAATACATTCACTATATTTTTGTGCAAATGCATCCTAGATAATGCTTAGCAGAAATATCTTTGGTGGTAAGTGACATTTGTTGTAATGCTATTTGTGTTAAAAATTTTTGTGATATTAACACAATGATCCATTATGAGTCTAAGAGTGAAAATAAAATTTTATTTACCAGTTTATTTCAAAATTTGAGCGCTTGAGTTTACTATCCATAATTGTTGTTATCTAAATTTTAAAAATCAAGTGAGATTATATTAAATGTATTTTTTTTATAAATTAATAACAATACCATCAATGAGTGCTCATTAGAATTCAATGTACAACTTCGAGCTAACTGTTGAGTAAATATCAATAATTCATTTAATTTTGCATATGTTAAAGAAAATAAAAAATGTTTCCTCCCCTAATATTAAGTCATTTAAATTAAATTTATAAAAACAATAACTTTAGTAAATTTGTATGGACCAATCTTGTTATTTTCTTTAATATTTATTGTATAATTTGCTATAATATGCATAATATTTTCATCTTCAGCTCTAGTATTATTTTTATATAAATTAATTTTTAAAAATTCTACTTTGCAAAAAGAGTTGTATTTTTTTGCCATTTATCTATCTTTTCACAATTTTTAAACAAAACCTATTAATTAAAAATATAGGTTCATATAGTTTTATAAAATATTATTTAAAATAATATAACTATAAAAAGATGAATTATAACATAGAAAATAACAAATATATATATATATCTATGTAATTTCAAAATATTGGAAACTACATGTCACTTAAAACAATAAATTAAAATTATTTACTTTGCAAAGTGGATAATTACATTTAACTGGCTCATATATAAATGATTTTGAGCACAATCTCAGATGTCCCCTCTGCTTGTCACTGTTAATAAATATTTATAGCATTAAAATTAAGTTTGTTTTTATAAAAATAACTTATTTAAAATTTTCTGTCCATGATCATTAGGATGAGATATTACAGCAAAGCTTTCAAAATATATTTCGCCAGGATCGAGATATAAGAAGCTAAATCTAAAAATAAATTTTAAAAATAAACTTTTGGTATATATTTATAAAATACCTATCGATATTAAAATTTTGAGCGATATTTAAAAAAGTCATATGGGAATGAATAGATTATTTTCTTATAAATATTTGTGCTATATTTTAACTGCGAGTAATTTTTTGAAAAATATTTTAAAAATTAATATCATGATAAATCGTACTATAAATTTTATGCAGTAAATAAGGAATATTGAAAGCAGAAACAAAGTAGTTAAAAATAATCAATAATTTTAAAAATTACAAATGTTTATTTTTGACTGAGCTTGTTTCTTTATTCGATGGATGCACTAAAGTTTGCGAAATACAGTTTATCGGGATACTTGATAAATTGTGGGTGCCAGATAGATCTTCTTGCTCAATATGAGTGTTTCATCAGTATCATCATTTTTGATAGTACGAGCTGTGCGTTGCCACCATATTTCTGCCTATTCGGTAGCATCAATTTTATAAATCGATTCAAGCTGTGAAAGGTCCGTTTATGCTTGTTAGGAAATTTCTACAAAATTTGGTTCCCCATTGTTATTCTTATCTAAGAATTTCAATTAAATACTAGTCATATTTACTAAAAACCATTTTTTTATATAATCGTCTGCTTTAATATAACGTTTAATATAGAATTTTTACATTTAAAGTGTGAATTTTGTTTATCCAACTTTGAATGTGCATAAATTTTACCCTGTTAAAATTCAATTAAATTTTCAAAATATATTTATAATTTATTTTGCTTTTAATCTATAAAAATTTTTGTATTTTTTTTTTACAATAGATAAATATAATGTTAAAATAAAAATGTGTTCAGTGCTCAATTGGAACCATTGATTGGAACACAGTGTAAAATTAATTATAAGCTATAAAATTTTTGATTTCTGTCATTTATTTATGGTTATTAGAAGAATCAGGATAATAAGAAAAAAAATATTTTTTGAAAATTATGAAATTAATTATGATATATTGAGGAGTGAATTTAAGGGTAAAAAATTTATCAAATTTAATGTTCATCGATATTAATGCATGTTCAATATTAGAAGGATATTTAAGATCCATATGTAAAAATATAGAAAAGAAATTATCTTGGTCGAATAAATTATTTACAAGAAAAATACAATCCAACGTAGAAGAAGAAAAGATTTATGGCATATTTTAAAATGCATATTTATATATTTTTTAAAATTGTATCGATATCGGTAGCATTAAGTGTTTGTGATATCATTTTTAAAATTTAATATAAATTTATTCATATTTACAATAAAAAAACTATCGATTTTATATATATATATCATCCTATTTTTTGATGATATATAAAAAAAATTATAGCCCCCTTCCCCCCTCCTCTTCCATTTACTTCAATTTTTAAGCAATACACAACTGATTGATAATATAATTTTCGATTATTATAATTATTACCAATTATTTTAATTAATATCATAATTTATTATAAAATTCGAAATAAATTATTATATTGCATTTTATTGACTGGATGTATTTTTACAAAAATAAATAATTATAAATTACAGATTATAATATTGAATTTATGATTGGATTTATTTGTAAGTTTTCTTGAACATGAACCAATTTTCTCAATGTCTGCTTCGTGGAGGTTCTTTGAGGATTTTCATGTTTTAAGGGATGGATAAAATGTAATATCAACAACAACGTTATTAAGTGAGGTGGCAAAGTGATTATTGTATTATTTGTAATTGATTTTGCTTTCCATAGGTTAAACGAATTGATAGTGGGCCTCTAAGCTTGCTGCATTGAACAAGGAGTTGCTTCTAAAAGTTATTCTGAAAAAATTATTGTCTGCGTTTTTTAAATAAATTTATTCCACAATTATTTGTTTGTATATATAATAATAATAATAATAATAATAAACATATTAAATAAACATATTAAATAAACATATTAAATAAACATATATCTTATTTATTATTTAAAAAGTGGTGTTATAAAAAAAAAATTTATGCACATTTCTAAATATTTGGATGCATCAGCTGGGGTCGTGTCCAGATTTTGGCGACCAAGGCTAGAAATATATTTTATGGCCTTTTTTAAAAAAAACTAGGAAATAAAAATTGGACCAAAAAATGAAATTCAAATGAAAAATTAAATCCAAATCAAATTAAATATATATATATATATATTGGGAAAAATTGGTATTATGTTTAATTTATTATTATATTCTAAAATAATTCATAGAGGGAAATAAGGTTTTGAGTTTTACTACTTAAGGATTATTTATTTCAATTTATAAATTTCATTATATAAATTCTTCTGAATTTTAAAGATGTCTTAACTCTTGATTAACGAGGCTAAACACCATTAGTATGGTGCGAATAGAAAAAATCTACATGCCCCATTTATTGTATAAAATATAAAAAAAACATACCTCAATTTATGGTGCAAATAAAAAAACTACATGTCCCCATTAGGAAAGAAATATGAATGTGATGTGAATAAAAATAACTGTATATCACCATTATGGTTCAAGTAAAAAAAATCTACCCCATCTTTATGTCACAAATAAAAAAAACCATATCTCCTCATGATGATTAATACTGCAAGTGAAAAAAATCCGTTTTTGCTAAGGAAAATATGTTTATGTAAATATTTTTCAATTTAAATGGATAATAAATAGGAAAATTAGGTATATAAACTTGAACAGTACATTGATTGAAGGGTAAAAACAATTTCTTGAACTCTAATGTGGTTTCTTACTTATTTCAATATTTCTACCAAAATGCTGACGATAAATAGAGTTCTTAAATATTTGGATTATTAATTATATCTGTTTTTCTTGTAGAATCGCATCATGTTAGATATAGTATTTCATTACTTAGTCTTTAAAAAGTCTTAGATAAACCTTTTCTCCTCTTGAATATTATAAAAATTTATTTCTTGTACTTAAGTTGAAAAAAATTATTTTTTTTAACCTCAAAATTAAGTGTTGATAGTAATATTAAAATAATTTCCCCCTTCCCTACATAATTTTTATAACAAAAGTTTATACACCCCCCCCCCCCACTTCCAAAGAGTTAAAATAAGATGTGACTAATTCAAAATTTTAATATATTCTTAGCTTTTTGGCTTAGCTTTTGGAATATAAAATATTTTGTAATCATTTCTTACATTTTGCTTTCATTAAACTTTCCATCTTATCAACCAGCCAAGCATATTTTTTCTTATTTTCAGATCCCCTACAAATTTTGGCGGACTAAATGAGATTTTGGAATATGATAAATTCTGCTTTTTGTTAATTAATTCATGATCAAGATTACAATTGGGCGGCGCTAGCTAGATGATTGGGTGCTAAAGCTTTTACTTTTTCAACATTAGCACTAATTTTGATAAATGGAGAAGCAGCAATTTAAGTAATTATTTAAAAATTTACTTAAATACTTTCTTGCGAAATTTAAGGGTTTATTTTAAATAAATATTATTTTCCTTTGTCATTAAATCATTTCATTATTATAATTTCATTCTTTTCGCCTTAGGGCAAAAACAGAATATTAAAGAATTAAAATATAATTATAGAATTCAATGCTCCGATATTTGAATATATAAAAAGTTGTGCTTATTTTTCAATTAATTTAATGTTCATTTTTGAATTAGTTGAAAAAAATGCTTATTTTTTACATTTATCTTTTAGATTCGGGTTTAAGGATTTTTTTTTACTTGTCATGAAGGTAAAGAATTTGAGTTTACATTTGTATTATATTAGTTTGACTAGAGATTTTATGTTTATTATAATTAAAGTAGAAGATATAAATCTATGGCCAAAAAAAGTTAGCACAAAGGTTGAGGCGCGACAAATCGGAGTTTGGGAAGAAAAATATTAAATAAATTTTATAATAATAGAATTTAAAAATTTTTAGACGCTTTTTTTAAAAATAAATTAGCACCTTTAACATCCCATTTTGTAAAAGGATAGCGATGCAGCTGAAATAATCTTTTATTTATTAATATCGAAAAAAATTCTGATATATATACATATCAGAATTAACGTTCAAAAGATCAAAAACCTATTTATGAATAAGTAATATAAATATTATAATGAACACATCAATTTATACAAAACAAATTTTTTGTATGGTTTTATCATAATATAGTAATAAAGAATAGAAATTTTGATGATTGCTTAATTCCAATTTTTATTCACAAAGATATTACTAGATACATTTGAAAAGGATATTTTAGAAACTCTGAATATTTATATTATTAAATTTAAAAAATAATTAATCAGCATTACAATTATTAGAAATTACCTAGCGATTAATAATAAATAATATATAAAATTTTATAAAGCATAACAATAATATCATAAAAAAAGAAAATGTATAAAACAAAATTTCTATAAAAAAACATAACGTTTCAAGGAAAAACATGGAAATCAAATTTTAAAAGTATAACATCAGAATTAAAATGAACCATATAATAAATTTAAACAATAAAACTTAAACATTTAAAAATTATAATTAATAGGATAATATGATGCTAAAGGGTAAAATAGATATAACACAACAATAAATAAAACATTACAAACTATGTTGTATAATATCACTAATAATTTTTATTACATTTCATACCTAAATATTATATTATACATGAATACCTTCTAATTATTGATTTTAAATAAATAAATTTTTATCAATATATCAAATAATTTTATACTTGACAATATTGAAACCAATCGATCACTATTATATCTACTTTTGCTTTTTCTCTTTCTATTAATAAATAGCCCTGACAGTAGGGTATACTACTGCGAAGTAGTAAAAACTAATTGGCTGTATGGTGTACGATGTTTGGATAACATATTTATAAGTTACTATTATATAAAATTTTGTAAATTTCTATTTTTTGGTTTTTTGCAAGTAAAAATAAAGTAGCTAGAATTTATGTTTATTTTATGGGTTTTTTAATCTACTAGCTTTAACTCCCTTGTGCATGAAAAAGTAGAGAAAAGGATTGATGGCTGAATTCACATATCCGACCCAGTTTAATAGGTCACCTACCCAATGAGGACTCTCGAATTGCAAGATTCCAAGCAAGAAAAAATAAAGAAA